TCAGCCCAGTAATTCAAGCACTCCACATTGATTCATCCCTATCTATGTATCTACTTACAATTCAAGACAAAATTCGTCTGCAGCACTGCAATGCATGGGCCTCCCCTGGGTGGGGAGTGCCAGAGGGTTAATACTATTATCAAAAAAGGCCTGCACATCTCTCTTTCCATATTCTAAATATATCTTCCGTTTCTCTATATTATTTATGGCTTTTTTGTTCCTACTTCATTAGACGAGCGTGGAAAAATGGGCAGAAGCTGTCTGTCAGAAGAGTTATTTTTAAAACCCAATATTGTCTATTGCAAAAGTTGGGGAAGGCCGGTCTTCTTGCCCAGTGCCGGATTTGTAGGGTCTCAGGGCCACATGCCAAGATGGTTCTGCTAATGAGCTCCATGTACTACAAGAAGACACACTACTTGGAAGAACAGATGAAGAGCGCTTCTGGATCAGACGCAAGGACCATCTAGTCCGAGATGGGGGTATTTATTTATTTATTAACAATATTTATACCCCATCCTTTACGAGATGTCCCAGGATGGCTTACAACAATGCATAAGTCACGACAAAATACAGCATAACAGAACAAACATAACTGAGCATAACAATGTTAAAACCTAATTGAAATAATTAAATATTAAAATTATGGGCAAAGAAAAAGGTTTTTGCCTGGCACTGAAAAGAATATAATGTCGGTGCCTGGCGAACCTCTCTGGGGACCCACCAGTTGGGGTGCCACCTCAGAGAAGGCCCTCCTCCAGGTGTTCATGCTCCTAACCTCCTTCAGGGAGGGTTCCTGGAGCAGGGCCTCTGCCTCAGCTCTTAAGGAAGAAGACGTTCCTTCAGGTATCCTGGTCCCAAGCCATTTCTCAGTGACCAGACAGATGCCGAAGGGAAATCCATAGCCCTTTCCTGTTTGCCGTAACAGCCAACCTCAAAGGGAAGATTGCTATTGCGACGTGGAGGTTCCAGGCACTCGTTTTTCCTCCTCCGATCTGTCTAATTCCTTAAAGCATCTGAGCTCATAGCCACCATTGCCTCTTGTGGAAGCACATCCCGCAAATGAGCGTGTCGAGAAGTATTTCCTTTTATCTGTCCTGAATCTACTCCCAGTGAGCTTCATTGCTGACCCCATGAATAGAAAATACTCTGACTCATGTTTGAGCTCTGTACAGAAACAGCTCCTGACTATGTACAAATAGTACAAATTGTTCTGGTGCCACAACTGCACACTTTCTAGTGCACGGTGGTCCAACTTTTCGTACCTTGAGGGCCACATGAGGAGTTTGACACAGAACCCGAGGGCTGTGCAATGAACTGCGTTTTCACAGAGGCTGATGCAACCCTGAGAGATCACAGGCAGATGCTTCTCCCACCGGGGCGCAAGCACAATGACTGCTCCTCTGGGGTGGCCCACCCCTTTCTTAATTTAAATTATTTAATTTAATATTCACAATTAATATATTTAATTAACCATTAAATGAGAGAGGAAAGCGCTGCTTCATTTGAAGATTTTAGGACTAACTGAATGGAAGAAAGGCACTGGGGCCTGTGATCTCTGCAGGGGTCGCAGCAGCTGCTTCTCCCACCGGGCGCAGGCACAATGACTGCTCCTCTGGGGTGGCCCATCCCTCTCTTCTGGGTTCTCCTGCCCAGAAACCCTCCCATGTGACCACCGCAGCCCATCATCCCTCCCGGAACTGGTGTGCTGAGCCTTTTGCGCCTGAGCTGAGGAATTCTCCGCACCAGGCCCTGCCCACGCCTGTGACGACTGCAGGGGTGCTCAGCTCGCGAGCACCTTGGTGGTCCTCGTCCGGAGCAGCGTGGGGCACGCTGGGGGTCGCTCTCATGAGGCCGCCGGCCCAGCCCGCTGTCTTCCTGAGCCTCGGGAAGAGAGCGGGACAGCTGGTGGCCTCAGGAGACCCTGCCGCAACCACGCTCATGGTTGGACTGGGGGGCACTGGGGGGGGGGTCCCAGCAGCAAGAGGGCTGCAGAACAAGGCCTTGGGGGCTGCATGGCCCCACCCACCACCCACCCTGGTCTAGTGGGTGGCACATGGGGAGAATCAATCCAAACTAGACAGGGATGGCTACATGATGACTAGTGTGTAGTGTGTCACACTCCAGGACTAGTGTCAGACTTTGACTGGGGGAGACCTGGGTTTGGATTCCCAGCTTGCGTCTGGAGCTTGTTCGATGATCTTGAGTGAGCGCCAGTTCCTTGGCTGGTTTCCCTCAAAGAGCTATTGATCAAATTATATCAGTATACATATATTCCACTTGTTTTCTGTCATGAGACAGCATGCATAGGATTCCACCTGTGTCATCTTCCTTGTCACCCCACACACGCCTCCTCCCAAATCTACACAAACCAGAGTTCCTCAGAGCAGGTTAACACATTAATTAAAAATGGTTTTGAGATGTGCAGAACCACGCAGCCTCCTCCCCTCTTAATTGCCTGCTCCTGGAACTGCAGAGATCATTTGCTAAAGCATATTATTATTACACTAGGTGTTTTGTAAGTTGTTTATTTTTTATTACAGTAGTAGTTATATACTACCCCATGGCCCAGCGGGCTCTCTTTCAAGTTGTTTCTCTCAAGTTGTTGCAGCGACTGCTTCATTAGAGGCAAAACTGCCGTTCTTATGTGTTGTGTCCAACTTATGGCCACCCCCATGAATGAGAGCCCTCCAAAATATCTCTTTCACAGGCCTGCTTTTTTCTTGTAAGCTGAAGGCTGTGGCTTCCTTTATCCAATTAATCCATCTCATATTTGCTCTTCTTCTTCCAACTTCCCCTAACATTATCATCTTCTCCAGTGAGTTGGGCCTTCTCATGAGATGTCTGAAGTGCATTTCAAAAGAATGCTGCAGCATTCCCCAGAAGCGGCCTTCTCCCACCTGCTGTTTTGGACAACTCCCAGCATTCCTGGCAATTGGCCATTTTGGCTGGAGCTAATGGAAGTTCAAGTCCAAAACATCTGGAGGGAAAGCTGCCCCAAACTGACAGGGAACATACACAATTTAGATCTTTGCTTCTAAGAGGAATTAACATTATTTGCTATAGAGAAAAGGGAAAACATTAAACCTATAAAACTTACTTGACAAGTTTGTGAAGACACTGAGAAGCTGTAGAATTCATAAGTCTCTTTGGGGACCAGTTTCAGTTGCAAAGTTCGTAAATCTAGCCTTCTGCTGTGCATCAAAATATACTGAAAACTTTTTTAACTTCAGTATTATCTACCAGCATATACATCTGCAAAGTATACATAATGCTGGTCCTGAACCATCTGTACTGGCTTCCAATTGAAGTTAGAAACATAGAAACTGAGCAAGTCAGAAGGCTCCTCCCGAGCCATCTAATCTGACCCCAGCTCCAGCCGGCTCCGCTCACGACATGCCCACCACGTGCATGTCCAGTCTTATCTTCAAACACCCTCACCGATGGGGCCTCAGCAATCTCCTGTGGAAGCCCATTCCATACCCTCGGGGTCCTGTCAGGAAGTGCTTCCTGGCATCTAAGTGGAACCTGGGTTCCCAGAGCTTTGCTCCCTTGGAGCGCGTCCTGCCTTCCTCCGCAAGGGAGAACAGGTCCCTACCCACCTCCATGTGACACCCCCTCGCATACCTGTATGTTGCCAACAGATCCCCTCAGAGTCTCTTCTCCTCCAGGCTGAAGAGACCCAGTTCTCTCAGTCTCACCTCATACGGCATCCCCTGCAAACCAGCCACCAATTGAAGTTCAGGCTAAATTTAAGGTGCTAGTGATGACATACAAAACCGTAAATGGTTTAGGGCCAGGGTATCTGAAGGAGCATCTCCTTCAGTATATACCTGCCTGGCCCCTAAGATCTGGAGTGAAGGTGCTTCTTTGGGAGCTCTCTTTGAAGGTGATCAGAAGAGTGACTACCTGGAGAAGGGCCTTTTCCATAGTGGCACCCCAACTATAATGGGCTCCCCAAAGAGCTGCACCTGTCAGCAACACTTTTCATTTCGGTTCCAGACCAAACTTTTTTTATTTCCCCAGCATTTTAAAATTAGTATTGTTTTTAATATTGATTTTATATATTGCTGTGACACGGTTTTATCAATGCCTTGAGAAACTAAAGGGTGGGACACAAAAATTTAAAATAACGTGGTTTTTTTCCCCCACTCAAGGCTAAATATCATGAAGGTCACATTCTATGCTCAAGCTGTTGTATGCTGTAACTATTAATAATTCAAAGGTGTTTATTTTTCAAAACAACCTTGCTTAATTTGTGACTCATTCAGGAATGGATGCCCACGCTTTTGCAATATTTTGGTTTCTTTCTTTCTCCTCTCCCCTTTTTTTGATGGTGGGGGAACCATATTGCAAGCCAAAGGTAGCAGGTCATGACTTAGGGACAATCAAGACATCAGTGAAGGAGGGATGACGAGTCAAGAGCACTGAAGCACCTTACGGTTAACCTTTTACTCCTGATAGAGCCCATGAGTGCTTTGTACACAAAACAGAAACATCCTATGCAACCAAGATTTCCCGGTTACTTCAGTGTAGAGGGCAGTTCTGCACTTGCATTCCTTAGTATGGCCTGTAGTTTCTCCACTACTAAAACCAATTGAGAACCCTTGTGTACAAGGCGCTCTGCACGGGAGCCTTCCCCAAGGGCAATGATTGGGCAACAGCCTAAAAAACGTATTAGAGTTAGAAGTCTTCTTTTTAGACAAACCCCCTTATCCCATACCACATCCTCTGTGGAACTCAAGTGCACAAAACAACATACTATGGATTTCATCACTTAACACTACAGGCTGATGCAAGTGCTCATTCTAATTCTAATGTTCACATATGACAGAGAAAAGCCTACACAGGTTTTATTATGTCATCTTTTTATATGAACTAGGCTTTAATCCATAAGCTGGAATACAGGAAAGATTGATTCTTGTTTGTGCATGTCTCTGAAATAAGCTTGGTATATAAAGTACATCTTTCTCTTATTTATTAAGAGGAGAGGCATTGCAACGTAACATGGGACAGATCTCTTTTATTGAGTAGCCAAGATAAACACAGAAGTATTAATGGGTAGGTGTTTAGCCATCATCATTCCTCTGCTTGTTTTGTTTTCCTTATAAAATATAGGTTTTTCAACTGCACCAAAACAGGACGGAGCAATTTTATTTCTGATCATCCACATCAGTTTTTAATGAGTTTGCATATACATCCCAAACATTTAAAACTATTTTTGAAGTAGAATCATTTGAGGAAGTTGCAATTTTCAATGTTAAAGCCATGTAAGCACTCCTGGCAAAAATTAAGCTTTGTAAAAAAAAGAAATTAAATAATGAATACAAAATACGATTTATATTATCATCTCAGGCAAATGCCTCCCATTCAAGTGATTTCTGACTTTAATGGAAGTACCTACACTTGCGACTCTGCAAGGGAGAAATTCATACAATACGGCAAGGACCCGTTTCTCCTGCTCTTACCAGTTTGTGCTTGAATCTTCCCTTATACATAGAGTATTTAACATTAAGCATTCAACACACTATAAAAGATGCTTAATACACCATTAAAGATGTTTAACGTCATTATATCTATACTTTTTGTTTTTAATGGCAGCTCTTCTCCCCAAACAAGCGGAAACTGTGTTTCCAGGAGACAAAATGGATCATAATTGAAGCAAAGAATGCTTTGTCTTCATTTGCAGATCATCTGTATTTTGTATGTCACATTTTTGTAATGTTTACTGGCATTTAATACCATGAATTCGCAGAGACCAATAATCCACTAAGACACTATAGCTATTATCCAGTGTCATGTGAGAATGCCTACCCCGTGCAACAGGCCCCCTCTTCTCCATCGGCAGCCCTCTGTGCCTCCCCCGCCCACTCCTACTATCTGTTCAGGAGGATTCTGCAACCATTCACAGCAAATTTGGCAGGTTGCAACGGGGAGACAGAATTGGTTCTGCCAGTGGCGTCTGTTGTGCAGGTAGATGAACACGGCTGACTGCAACCCTACTGTGATCACCAAAATTAGAAACTGTAACACCACACACAATAGTAATGCAGATGAATTCAGCCGTTCAGCCTCATTTCCACAAATGGTAGTTCCAGGACTGAGGTTTAATATGAAGTCTGTAAATACAGCATGTAAAAGAATGCCACTTCTGGATTTACTTAGCAAACACACAGGTTGCAAAGCTGCCAGTCTTCCTCTCGTCCCAAAATTCTGAGGATAAAGGCACTGTTTAGCTCCTTTCTGCTGACCAGCAAGCCTTCTGTTCTGACAGGAGACAAACTCATCCTTACTGTACAAAGCCTGTTATCACCCCCTTTTCCCTTTATGCTAAGCAGACTCTGCAAACATTTTTTCTACCCATGGTCCTGTCTTGTTTCAGCACTGCTTATGTTCTGCGCCGTTTTGCAGCACTTGGACTAGAAGGATTGCTATTTGCATTTAAGACTTTCTCAGTGACTCGGTTCCGCTTTCTCTTATCGGCGCCTTCTTTGGATCCAGATTCAGAAGAGCTCCTCTCTTTCTCTTTATTGCTTGGTTTTTCTGCTGCTTTTGCCAGGCTTCCCAGAGATGCATACACTGAAACAGAATTTAGACAAACGATCATGACTCGGATAACATCACATCAGGGCCACAAACAAAGACAGAACTCAGTGCAGGTAGTGGGCTTATGCCAGTCCTGAATGTACAGCCTGGTGCTCACCAGATGCCTTGGATTTCAGCTTCCATCTTCCCTAGTCAGCACAGCCAGTGGTCAGGGGCAGTGGGAGCTGCAGTCGAAAATATCTGGAGGGCATCAGGTTGAGGAAGGATGCTATTGCTTCACAGGTAGAACTATTTTCTATTTGACCAATCCTTCAAGCAGCCAAAGGGTCAGCTTGATGGACTGCAAGCTCCGGGTGTGTGGTTTCTGTGATTCCCAACCCTGACAAGTAGGCAAGTTTGTTCTTTGCTCATGCAAGTCCTTTGCCAGAGGGTGGCGCCCCACCTATGGAATGTGCTCCCCAGAAAGGTCTGCCTGGCACCGTCATTTGTTTTTCGGCGCCAGGCTAAGACCTTTTTATTTCAACAATATTTTAATAACTTTTAATATTACTATAGGTTTTAATTTGCAGCCGGAATGAATCGGGTTTTTAATTTGTATAATCTGTATTTTTTGTATTATATTTATTTATGTAAGCCGTCCCGAGGCGTTACGCGATGGGACGGCATACAAAAACTCTAAATAAATAAATAAATCTCAAATACTAGGAACTGCAGTGCCTGAAATTATAAGCAGCTGAATGCTGGGTAAGTGAAACACTGTGATTGGAGTCCCTGGCAGTACCATCATCCTGCTTTTCGAAGGATTGTTTCTCACATTCCTAGTTCAAATAATGCAGCTTCAGCTTCTACCAAGCGAGAGAACTACCCTCTGCAGGGGAATCCCCATTGATCAGGTATGTTTCTGAGGCAGTAGCATCTTGAGAACAATGAAAAAATGGTGGAGGCTCTGGGGCAACACCCCCCCCCCCCAAATCTTGGAGATCTTGCTGGGAGAAGTGGGATTTCAGCCCCCCATTTGGCAAGCGGCACTCACTCTGGGGCTTTTAAAGCACCTGACAGGTCAGGTCTGTCAGCTATCAGATGCTTCAAGAGGAATGTGGTAGTGGGGGAGACCGACTCATTCGCACCCTTGGGGGGCAACAGACAGGCTGGGTGCTTGGTCAGCTCTGCCAGCAGAGGCCATCCTCCCAGCCAGCCCAGGTCCCCACTGCTGTCCATACAGCACTGCAACCACATGCGGTTGCGCACAGCTGACAATCGAAATACAATGTATGATTTCCAAATATTTCCGAACATTAATTTGGTTATCTAAAAAAAAACTAACCATCCCAAGCAGCCTCTCCAAGGTCCCACTTGTGACCCTTGGAAGGCCTGCTTGGAGATGGGTACACTGGGATCACAAAAGTTGGCTTGAAATGCCAAAGAAATCTCAAGAAAAGGGCTTTTTAAAATGATTGGCAGGCTGAAAATAGGTTACAGCAACAGCAGCGGTCATTGCTGGGAGGGAACCCTTGGTGCTCCCACCAGGTCCCCCGAGACACTCATGCAAGGGGAAGTGGGAGCGCACCCATCCTCCGGGCTTGTGCCACACTGGGTTGCCATACTGTGCAGACCTCCCGCTGGTTCAAGTGTTGACAGCCCTCCATAGGATGTTCAGATGAAAATGAGAAGCCAAGCACAGGATCATCTGCATACCTGCGATGCTCAACCCAAACCTCCGGACAGCTTCCCCCAGCAATTCCATGTGGATGTTAAAAAGGATGGGGGACAAGATGGAACCTTGGGCCAATACAAATCCTCCCGCACCACCTTAGGACGCTGCTACGCCAATGGGCTGGAACCACTTTACCACCACGCCTCCTAAACCCAACACAGAGAAATGATCCAGAAGGATACCATGTGCAGTGGCAATGAAAGCTGCCAAGAGAGGTCGGAGTATGTCCGCTGGCTCTGACACTGCATTCCAGAGATCTTTAGCTGCCGAAATGACCATGAAGAGTGTGCCTGAATGTATCCTCAGGGCGATTTCAGAGGGAAGGTTTCCAAAGTTAAGCCTGCACATGACTCCCAAAAGCCACAGCGGACTATCAAGCAAAACACTGTGGCAGGGACCAGTAGGATCAGACCAGGGGTCACAGTCCAGAAGACTGCTGCACAAACCAATCTCCGCAACCACACGTTCGAACTCATGGCATGCTTCTCCCCACCTTTGGTTTAACATTACATCAACCTTTGGAAAAATGGCTGCATTTATCAATCCCGTAGCAGTCACTCTCCCAGGATAGGCTACTGCAAGTTAGGAGACATATCTGGCACCATGCCCCACATGTGATGTGGTTGAAAACCAGGGTTCAGAGCCCTGGAGAAGTGATACAGTCTTAGAGAGGACACGGTTTTCATGTGCTAAAATTACCATCTTCAGGACCTGCATGTGATTCCATCTCTTCTTTTATTTCTTCTTTCACATCATCTTCAATCATCACCTTACCTGTGGGAATAGATTAGGAGAGAAGTGAAGGCACTGGCACACATTCTCTTTCTTCTGGTAAATTTTGCAAGATTTCCTAAGTATACTCAGGGCAACAGCCTCCAATGGATAATTCAGCATCTACCAACCACTACCCACGCCCCCCGTTACCTACTTTCAGTCCATTTGAGGAGGAAAACAAGCCTGTTTAAAGCAGAAGCCGGAGCAGGCAACTTAGGTTCCAATCACATGCATGTTTGCACAAAAGAAGGGACTACAACTCCCTTCCCAGCCATGCTGGGGATTCTAGGACATTTTTCTGACTATGCATGCATATGATTGCACCATCATGTAGAAATATGCAAAGACAGGCCAAGGAAGTCATCATGTAAACAGGGATGGTGTTTTTACTTCAAAGGAGTCAAATATAAATACACAAAATTTTAAATCTTGGGAATATGCCCCCCAGCCCCCAGGCATTAAACATTTCAGCTATTCAGAGCTGGTCCAAGACATCTTTCTACCTGAGGCAAAATACAAGACTAAATCCTTCTCCGCTTCCATGTATAGAAACTGAACAGCACTGGTACTTAAAATGACCTTCAAAGTGGGCAGCACCCTCCACTGCAGCTGAGGACCCAAGGCTAGCTCAGGGCTGACAAGGAAGGCCTCGCGGCACCCACAGCTCTGCCTTCCAACAACTTGCTACTGCTCTCTGCACTTTGCCACCTGAGACTACGGCCCCACTCTGCCTTAGGGCTGGCCCTGCAACCATGGTAAATTACTGCTACCATCAATGATGCAAGGTTACTAGATTAATTTATGACTATTGCAAATTCCAAAAGCTGAGTCATGGTGTGTGCATTTTAAATCAAATTCTCTTCCTAGCAGTGGATGATGGAATTATACGGAAGGCAAACAGGAAAAGAGAATCATTGTAAAAAGCAGTTCTGAGAGCTAAGGTATATAAAAGAGGGCTATAGGGCCATCCGGTCCACCCCACTGCTCCACTTCCATATGTGGTCACCCATCTAGCTGCAGGCCCGCACCTCTCCAGCTTAGCAAACATGCTGGCTTGATGTACAGCTGTGCAGATGGTGTATTTATTATGGCTTCACCCTGTCATTAGCACTGTTTACACATCACTATCCTTTTTTCTTGCAAACTTGTTATCAGTCCCTCTTTCTTGCATTCCCAAAGCTGGTTCTCAGCTATGTGGTTTTTGTTCAGAAGAAACCAAAGCAACACATTCTGTTTATTTATTTTAAATTTTTCTATACCATCTACAATTCCACAGAAAATCTTTAGATGGCTTATATCAATAAAAACCAAAACGATTTATAGAACCTGATTAAAATAGAATTAAATCAGACATATATATATATATATATATATATATATATATATATATATATAAAACAGCTAACATACTGGTTGAATGAAAAGGTCTGGCAACAGAAAGAATAGAGTGTTGACATCAGCTGAATCCTTCTGGGGAGCATATTCAAGGTGCCACAACTGAGAAGGCCATTCTCCTTGAAATTGCCTACCTCACCTCCTTCAATGAGGGCTCCATAAAAGATCTTAAGGTATATGGACAGGTATATATTGAAGGAAGCACTTCTTTAGATAAGCAGGCCCTAAACTGTTTAGGAGTTTATATGTTATTGTCAACACCTTAAATTAGACCCAGACTTCAATTGGGAGCCAGTGCAGATGATACAGGACTGGTGTTTCTAGAAACCTTACGGGCTAATGTAACACAAAGTCATTCAAACAAATTCATTTCTATATAATGGTAGCCCAGCTGGATCACTGCCTTGAGCTCAGACCAGCTACAACAGTAAAATCCAGTCTGTTCCATATAATCAAAACAATTACGCTTAGGGCCTTGTCCTTCCCAACTTGACTCCCTATTTTAAATGAATATCTATTGAAAATATGTATAGGCCACCTTTTAGTTTAACCCCCCATAATCCTTTATTGTTCATTAATGATTATCATAATTCCTTATTATTGCAATCTGACCTTTGAGAACACTTTTATTAACTTCACTTTTTTTCTTAAATAGAAGCATTAAAAAAGGATGGATTTGAACATTGAGGAAGCAATCTTTGCGTTCCCGTTCTCCGGCCTTGCATATTTTGCTAGATGGGCTTTCAGCTGTAACTTTTTGTCACAACCAGCAGTGGTGCTTCGGAAGGAGGTTGGCAGAGGCTCAGGATAACTTGCATCCTGGCTCTCCAGTCTCCTTTCCCTGGCTTCCAGAACATCCCCTTGCCCAGTCTTGAAGACTGAATGCCTTGGAGGGCAGCCACTGCGATTCTTTCCATGCCAGCTGCCAGGGGACACGGTCAGATCTCCAATCCTGCTTCTGAGATCAAAGCACTTCCTCTGCTCTACTGTTTTTAGGGTGCAAATGGTTTTTATTATGAAGTTTTACTGTTCTGTATTGTATAGTGCTGTGACAAGTTTTAGTCTTTTCATACCTCTTACACACCGCCCTGGTCTCTGTCAGGAAGAAGGGAGATCTAAAAAATATTTTAATACCACTACCCTAGACATATCAACTCAGAAATAAGCCCCACCGAGTTTAGTAAAGCTAAATATTCTCTCTCTCACACACATACACACACATTAACTGCTCTTACATCTCACCTTCTTTTACCTCTTGAATAATTTCTTCAGGAAGGATGAAATTTTTCTCCGAATTGGGAAATGGAAGAATCTCAGATTCATGCTTAGACATTAAAAATATTTAAAGCATTTGGTTATGCAACAATTCAAATTTTCTAAAGAAATGCATAATTAAGATTGTGATAATTACTAATTGATTACTAAAGTTCACTGAACCTCAACAAGTTAAAGAGAATTGGAAAAAGAATCCTACAATTATTTAATCTACATCTATTTCAAGTACCACACATACAAAGTCCCTACTTAATTTTTAATGCAATGCTTCAACATATGTGATTTAGAAAGACCCTGCAAGGACAGAGTGTGTATCAATTAGAATGTTCAATGTTCAGAAGGTAGTTTACTTCTTGCCATATTAGATGACATGGTATTAAAGAAACATGTTGAGCAAAGCATGTAACTAGCGTGGGGAGTTCAGAGTAAAATGTTAAGATTATTATCTCTAATGCTGAAAGGATGAGAGAGATTTTCTGTTATGATTGTTTGGTATCATCCAATGATGCTATCAATGTACATCTTCTCTGAAGGTTTGTAATTCTCTCCCTCCTCACTGTTTTGATGGACACCTCCCCTGGATAGGGGCATTTGGTCAGCTGAGTGATACCAACTGCATACAACCCAGACTGTGTATATGCACTGGCTGCAAGAAATGCGTGCTCCTGGCAGCAGGCTTTTGGAGATGTTGCATAACACAAGCCATGCAAGCTGAATCAAAGCTGCCAGGCACAGAGCCCCGGACCAAATATGATCATGGTCTCTTGCATGTCTCACTGGGCTCCGTGGGGCTTACCTTTGAGCAGACATATAGGACTGCACTGAAACAGGCTGGGCCATGAAAAAGTATCAAGATCAAACATCCCCTGTGCTATATACATGATTACAGTGTTGTTACAAAAACTGTTGTTAGGTCTCACAGTCGGGAGTAGGTGCAGATCAAATGAAACCTTAGCATCAACCACTGTAGTCACTGCAGATTAACCTGCTACCATACCTGTCTTCCAGTGTCATACAGTACATTGCCACACACTGAATGGGCCAGGGATCTGTGGATTACCAGCACCAGGGCCACCAAGCTCGGTTTTCTGTCAGGTAACACTCACCAGTGCCTGCATGTCATACATGGTGCTCAAGTGGTCCCAAATGACTTTGGAAGAAATCTGCCTTCCGATATTCTGACTAAACTTATCTCGTATACAGATCATGTGAAAATGGCGATTCACACCTGATTGTGGGGAAGGAGGAAAAGAAATAAGGGAACTTAATTTTGCCTTATTGGAAAATCCAATTAAGTAAATGTAGGTGATTGCTTTACACAAGAACACTTCACAACATACAGGAGAACAATAAAATGACAGAGTTAGAAGTACCCCCCACACAAGAGGAAAATGAAGTATAATGCAACCCTAATGCAACCACAATGATCAATGTGAAATCTTCCCTGATTTGCTTTGTCCAAAAATGTACAGTGCCACGGAGGATCAATAAGGCACGCCTATAAAACAGCCGCTCATCAGCATGTGTGTGGCAAGTTAGGAATGGCCTTCATAAATCTCTGTGTGGGTGCGAGTGGTAGGGAAGAGTCACAGAAGTGCAGGTGCACCTGGGAGGTGAAAACACACCTCAGGACTACAGCAGAGAAATCAGGAAAAGGCTGCTGTGATCCTTGGGCAAGAATACGGAAAGGATGGGGATTTCACTTGTAGGGGCTGCTGAGAACTGAGGAAAGGCTGAGAGGGCAGAGTAAGGAATGCAGGAACCACGCTGCACAGGTAAGTGCTTGACTGACGAGTCAGTTTAGCCGAGAATCCATGTGGGCTATGGAAACAGTGCAGGGCTGTTTGCTGCATCACGCAACCCCAGCCACTGACTGGCACCAATAGCTCTCAAAAGTTTCAGGAAGGAGTTTCTCCAGCCCTGCCTGGAGCTACCAGAGATCAAATCTGACATCTTCAGCTAGCAAATCATGTTCCCCGGAAGTGAGCTACAGCCCCTTTGTTAACATTGGGCACGTTACAGACAGGGATGGGGGGTGGGGGCAGGATCTGCACTCATGCCCACCTTTCCCCCCCAGTAGGAGTCCTGACAAGAGCAGAATAAATGCCTTCATAAGACTTCTGTTGGACGTTGAGATTGTACTCTCCCAAGCAGATATCTGTCCTCTTGCTCTCTATAAAACACCATGCATACTGATGGTGCTATACAAAATAAAATAAAATATACTCCCACTCAACAAGTCTACAACAACTAAGACACATCAGACTGTAAGCTCCTCAGGGCAGGGCCCTATCTTCATGTTGCGGCTGTCCTGACACACCATCACGCACTGGGATAGTGGCAGATGGACCAAAAAGGAGATTAAGGCTGCAAGCCTAAATAGTTGCTAGGGTCTTAGAATAAAATCCTGTTCATGTCTAGACAGAATGAAAATCCTACAGTTCCTAACATTCCCCTATGCTGGCAGTTGCAGGACTCTGTGGTAGAACATTTCTCGTAGACCATGCACAGAACTGCACTTAAGAAACCAGATAACCACGCAAGTGCATGACTTTATTAAGGGTGCAATCCTATGCACATCTAGCCTGAAAAAGGGCCTACAGCTGCCAGCATTTGGGAGTTGTAGGCTCTGTTTTCCAGTTAAACATGAATGGATTTACCCTAAGCTGAATACTATGGAAATTATTTCCGAGCTAGCAAATGGAGTTGCGGCTGAAACGCTCAGAAAATGCCTTCAAGTGCATTTTCTCATGCCATGCCATGCCATGCCATGCCATGCCATGCCATGCCATGCCATGCTCTTAGCCATTCGGCCTAGGAGCAAGAAACCCCATTCCTATTCCGATTCCCAGCGGCGCAGCAGAGAGACCGTTACCAACAACGGACAACGCCACATTTAAAATCCCATGTCGAGGCGAGTCATCGCGAGCAGCCGGCCCGGGGCGGCAAATGCGAAAGGAGGGCGCGGGAAAGGGCCTCTGGGCGGCCTCGTGAGGAAGGCGAGCTGCCCGCCTGCGGGCCCGCCGAAGAGCTTTCCATCCGCCGGCACCCCCCGGGCGCCCCTCGCGCCTGTCCTCGGGCCGCGGCGCCACGCGAGGCCGAGGCGCGCGCTGGGCCTACCCTCCTCCGCCTTCTCTCACCGACGGGCTTGTGGCCCAGCATGGCGTGAAAGAGGCACACCTCCACCTCGGGGCTCCACACCACGGGCAGCGGCGGCGCCACGGGCAGCGGCGGCGGAGGCGGCGGCGGGGCCGCCGCGGTTGCCATCGCCGCCGCCGCCGCCGCCGAGGAGACGCTCGCCGCCGCCGCCTCCTCCTCAGACGCCGCCGCTTGCAGGACGGGCTCGGCCACGGCCGACACGGACACGGCGCCGGCCGCGGGGCAAGCGGGCCTCACGTCCGTCCCCGCCGCCGCCAGCGCCGCCGCCCCGGCCGAGCTCTCGGCTTCGCCCATCGCCGCCGCCGCCGAGCGCGGGCGAGC